AGGACAGAACCCTACAGGACAGAACCCTACAGGACAGAACCCTGTAGGACAGAACCCTACAGGACAGAGCAGAACTGCCCCACAGCGTTTCCTAGGCTGTTGTCTTTAGAGCAGCAGATGGATTACCAGATTTTTTCTCCAGCAGGGTGGCTGGTGGGTTGAAACTGCCAACCTTTGGTTAGCAGCTAAATGCTTAACCATTGTGCCACCAGGGCTCCAGATATTATAATTTAAAAATAAACAAAAAACAAAAAAATCCATTGCTGTCAAGTCAATTCTGACTCACAGAGATCCCACAGGACAGAGTAGAACTGTCCCACAGCGTTTCCAAGGCTGTAAGTTTCTATGGAAGCAGACTGCTACATCTTTCTCCCACGGAGAGGCTGCTGAATTCAAACTGCTGACCTATCAGTTAGCAGCCAAGCACTTAACCAATGCGCCACCAAGTCTCCTTGGATATTACAATAGAGGGGGAGAAAACAAGATTACACAATTAATAATGCTAGTCTAACAACACTCAGGTCTTTACGATACTACGTTCAGTAGTACTAATTTATTCTAGAAATTTCACAATATATGGCAATGTCTATAGAGAAAAAAACATATAGCTCAGTTTGCCAAGATAAGTAAGTGTTCACAGGCATGGATGCACGTGTTTGCTCTCAAGTGGGATGTACTGTCCTACCTGCAGTCTCGTTAGTAAGCTCCAGCTTCTCAGGAATTTGAAGACATTTGATGGAGGAGGAGGTGCTTGTAACTGAGGCAGAAGATCCAGAGAACCCGGACGAGTGTGTGGCTTCGTGACTGTCTTCAATAATTGGGCTGAAAGAAGCATAAATGAGTCCATCCTTGTAGGGATAATATAAACCCACTGCCACTGAGTTGAGTCTGACTCAAAGCAACCCTATAGGACAGAATAGAACTGCCCCAAAGGGTTTCCAAGGCTGTAAATCTTTCCAGAAGCAGGCTGCTACATCCTTCTCCTGTGGAGCCGATGGTGGTTTCAAACCACTGACCTTCTGCTTAGTAGCTGAGAGCTTTCACCACTGTGCCACCAGGGCTCCCCAGGGTAATATATACCAACTGATATTTGTTACAATTTTGAAAGCCAGTAATTTCATTTGTTGTTGTTAGTTGCTGTTGAGTTGATTCTGGCTCATGGTGACCCCATGTGTGCAGAGCAGAACTGCTCCGTAGGGTTTTCAAGGCTGTCACTTCTCAGAAGCAGATCACCAGGCCTGTCTTCCAAGGCACCTCTGGCGAGGAGTCAAGCACTGAACTCTCTGCATCACGCAGGGACTCCCTAACAGTGTCATTAAAGTCTATTACTTTCCCCAAATGGAAATAGGTTCATAATCAGAACCCAGGTAATTTCATCTATCCTGGAAGACAAGCAATGCCCAGGATTATAGTTCTGGATTTATGCTTTATTTACTGAATCTACAGGAAATGCCTGTTCTGCACCTATTCTTGACTATTAAGAAACGTTGACTAAGATATTAACTTTCCTCTTGTTCTCCCTTTTCTGGACTCTTTACTCTTTAGTAGGAAGAGGTTGAGAAAGGAAAAGGGAATACAAATTCCTCAACATGAACACAGGCTAACAAATATGATATGAAGTTGGTCAGGGCAAAAGTTTGGAAATGCAGTTTTAAAATCACAAATTGGCAAATTAAAGAATATTTCTAAAACTGGAATTAGTTTGTGTAAATTAGTTGACCTTTGACTATGGATACATCACAAGGCTGGGCTCCTGGCTCTCTATGCCACTCCCTCGTACCTGTTCATAATTCATCTTCACTTCTCATTCGCACCTCTCTGCCCTGGTGGCGCAGTGGGTAAGAGCTACAGCTGCTAACCAAAAGGTCAGCAGTTCAAATCCACCAGGTGCTCCTTGGAAACCCCATGGGCAGTTCTACTCTGTCCTATAGGGTTGCTATGAGTCAGAATCGACTTGACGGCAACAGGTTTGTTTTGTTTTTGGTTAACAAAAGGTACTTGTTTTTGTGTATTACACCTCTAGCTGCCTATGTGAAATCAGTATCAAGCTGGTCTACTATTATTTTACACTCAATATTAAAGAAAAAATAAACACATCCTCCCTCCCAGTCATGGACACTATGTCGAGTTTCCTCAAAGGTGCCATAATCCCCCGGACCTCTTGGTCTCATAACCGTCAAAATTTCCTTCTTCTAAGAACAGGATACAAGGAAAAGATTAGTCCAAAGGACTAATTGTCCACAGCTACCAAGGCGTCCACCGGACTGAGTCCAGTACAGCTAGATGGTGCCCGGCTACCACCACTGACTGCTCTGACCGGGATCACAACAGAGGGTTCTGGACAAAGCTGGAGAAGGATGTAGAGCATAATTCTAATTCACAAAAAAAAAGACCAGATTTACTGGCCTAAAGGAAACTGGAGAAACCTCGAGAGTATGGCCCCCAGACACCCTTTTAGCTCAGTGTGAAGTTACCACCGAGGTTCACTGTTCAGCCTGGGAGTGGACAGCCCCGTAAAACCAAATGAGACTAACGAGGTACAAGAGTCCAGTGACAAGGGCCAGAAGGCAGAAGGGAACATGGAAGCTGGTGATAGGGAACACAAGATTGAGTAAGGATATTGTTGATGTGTTGAGAGATTGTTAACCATTGTCATAGGGCAACATTTGTAGTAACTGTTAAATGAGAAACAATTTTGTTCTGTAAGCCTTCATCTTAAGTGAGAATAACAGCACAATTGGAAGAGCGTAGTCAATGTCACTGAACTGTGTATATAGAAATTTTTGAAACGGTGTATCTTTGGCTATATGTATTTTCCCAAAAAAAAAAAAAAAGGGTTGAGAATTTAGAGGGTTAATATGTTGTGGGGTTGTTAACCAATGTCATAAAACAACATGTGTACTACTGTTTCATGAGAAACTATTTATTCTGTAAGCCTTCACCTGAAGTACAATAAAAAAAATAAAAAAAAATTTCCTTCTTCTAACTCTCATGTCCAAATCAATCACTAAATCCCATTGACACTTTATCTGGGGAAGCCCTACTGTCCTGTAAGCACTTAACGCAATGCCTGGCAGATGGTCAGAGCCTGGTGACTGATGACTCTAACTGCAAACACACACAGGATAAGGGAACACTCAAACGATCTGGTCTGTGCATCCTGTACTCCCCAATCACCTCAGCTTCTTGACGCTGAGAGTTTGATTGTAGACAGCACCACAGACAGTCTGCTGGTCATCAGAGGTTTTTACATCTAGATCCTCTTCCTGCAACAGTCTCTCAGGACCGGAAGGGAGATTCTTCAAGGATATTATCTCATGAAAAGGAGTAGATACAAAATGAGCTGCTCTAGCGAAGTCACAAGTGTCCTCTGGGTTGGGACAAATAGTCACATTCCTGAAACCAGTGATAATGGCATCCTCACTCAAGGGCTCCATTCCTGTAAATTCATCCTGAATTAAAGAACATGTAAAGTTTAGCTGAAATATTTCCATGAGCATAGGAACAGCCTATCTTTTTCACTTGGGGAGACATACATTCGATCAGTGATTTTCAACCGAGGGTGCAGAAGGAGCATATCAGACTCTCTAGGGAAGACAACGTCTGAAGGCACATTATAACATTTGAGGAAAAAGCTATCTATCATGAAAACAGTAAACTACATTTCACATTTCATTAAAAACTACCCTGTGAGGATCTGCCAGATAAGGGGAAAATACTGGACAATGGATACTGTTTTTCCTTCTGGCTTTGCCCCAGAACACATTCTGAGAATCTGCTATCCTCTCAGATTTTATGTCTTTCTCCTCTATGCCATATATTTAATTTTATTTTTCAAAGGTAATTCATGATCAAGATATAAAAAATATAAAGTAGGAAAAAAAAGTCACCTGAAATACCCAATCTAATACTTTCACTATGCACGTAAAACAAGCCTTTATCTTTAAAATACACGTACATGGCTTTAAAAAGTCAACCATGTTTGGCAAGGATCTGGAGAAATTGGAATGCAGGATTTTTACCCTAAATACTATCATGTCACTAGTCCATAGTGGTTAAAATAAAATATTATTAAAGAAAAACAGTTGATTCTCATAACTTTTCCATCACCACAACAGGCATTAACAAAGACCCTTTGCTATGTTAAAAAAAGAAAGTGGTAAAGGCTCCTAAGCCAGTGATTTTTCCCCTACTTTTTAAAAATTGAGATATAAATCACATCTCATAAAATTCTCCCTTTAAAAATGTATAGTTCAGTGGCTTGTTCAGTATATTTACAAGGCTGTGCAACCATCAAAAAAAAAACAAACAAAACCAAAACCAAACCCATTGCCGTCGAGTCGATTCCGACTCACAGCAAGCCTATAGGACAGAGTAGAACGGCCCCATAGGGTTTCCAAGAAATGGCTGGTGGATTGGAACTGTCGACCTGTTGGTTAGCAGAATGTTTTCATGAACCCAAGAAACTCCGTGTCATTAGCAGTCACTCCCCACCCCCCTCCCCTTCTCCCCTGGCAATCCCTAATCCACTTTCTGTCTGCAGACTTGCCTGTTCTGGACATTTTATGTCAATGGAATCGTACAATATGTGGTCTTTCATGTCAGGTTATTTCACTCGGCGTTTGTTCTCAAGGTTCATCCGTTTTGTAGCATGTATCAGTACTTCTTCCCTTTTTATGGTGGAATAATATTCCATTGTAAGATAGACTAATTTTGTATATTCATTCCTCAGCTGATGGACGTTTGGGTTGCTATTACCTTTCAGCTGTGATGAACAAGGCCGCTACAAACATCCACGCGTAAGTTTTTGTGTAAACGTGTTTTCAGTGTTCTTGGGTGTATACCTAGAACCGGAGCTGCTGCATCACATGTAAACTCCATGTTTAACTTTTGGAGGAACGGCCACACTATTTTCCAAAGCAGCTGTGACGTTTTATATCCCCACTGGCAATGTAAGGGGGTTTCAATTTCTCCACATCCTCGCCAACACTTGTTATTGTCCATATTTTTAATTATAGCCATCCTAGTGAGTTTGACTCATACTCATAGCGACCCTGCAGGACAGAGTAGAACTGCCCCATAGGGTTTCCAAGAAGTGCCTGGTGGATCTGAACTGCTGACCTTTTGGTTAGCAGCTGAGCTCTTATCCACTGTGCCACCAGGGTCGCGAGGTTGGAATCGACTCGGTGGCAACTGATTTTTAGTGAGTTTGAAGTAGTATGTCATTGTAGTTTTCATTTGTATTTCCCTGTGACTAATGATGTTGAGCATCTTTTCATGTGCTTATTTCAAGCCAGTGATTTAAATTCTAACCCTAAACTTCTGTGAGAATTGAAGGAGACAATCTACTAGCCCATTTGTATTAACTTAGGGATAACTGCTCTTACACAAACATCTGGAGACACATCCTCATTTGAGGTGATGCTTTCTGACGTTTTGAGAATTGTAAGGGGTCTTCGTTGGGCTAAAGCCCCAGGTGGATCTGTAGGAGGACTGGAAAAAGACATATTCCATTTAGTGCACTGTTCCTGTTGACAGAGGTCACAGTAACCCCCTCATACATCCTCATTTATAATGATAGAAAACCTTCTAGATTAAAAAAATAAAGTAAAATAAACCTGATATTCTTTTTTTCTGAAGGAAGACACTCATCAAATATGGAGAATGGTATACTGGGACCTGTAGGAAAAGACACTAGGTTCATACCGTTAAGAGTAAATGCTTATTCTTTAAGACAACTAGATACATTAATTGATACTTCGTGTTGTAGGCCTTTCTGTTTCAAAGCAGAAAGGCAATTTGGTATTTTTTTAAATAATGAAAAATTTCAAACATACAACAGTAGAGAGTGTTTAATAATTTAAGTTATCTATACATAGATCTTGTTCCATCTGTATCCCCCACCACTCTACTACCACTGCTCCCCAAACCCAACCCAAGCCGGATTACTGTGACTCAAACCCAAGACATCATGCCATTTTATCTGTAAATATTTCAGTACATATTTCTAAGAGAGGCTTGTTTTAAAAAAGCATAATCTCAAAATATGATCATACCTATAAAATTTCTTAATATCAAATATCCAGTAAGAAGTTTCACATTTTACCAATTCTCATAAAAAATATTTTTTTAAGTTTGTTTGCATTGGGGATACAGAGTAAGACACATATACTGTGATTGGATGAAATATTTCTTAAAGCTTTTTTTATTCTATAGGTTTCTCTTCCACCTTTTTTTTTTTTTTTTTTAAAGAAACTGGGTTGTTTGCTCCATAATGCTGCATTTTGCCAGCGACCCCTTCTTGTGTTGTTTAACATGTTCCTCCATGATTTTCATTTCCTATAAATTGATTAGAAGCTTACAGCACCATCCCCAAACTGCTTAAAGGTGGATATTCGTGTTTTAATCACTTTTAACATGCTTCTGATCAGAAAAGACAACCAAGCTGAATATAAAATAGCTTTAGTTTTAAACTTAAAAAACACTTTCCCCACAGTCTTAGCCGCAGGATACTACTACATGCTTAGCTCGGTGTACAGTAACTGAAGTGGAAGATCATTTGGTCGTTAAACTGAATATTTCAAAGCACTGAGGAATCTTATGGAAATACTTTTGCAATGATGTCTAACCTATCTCAGATCATATGATTATACTTAATTCCATGATTTAAAGGTACTATATCTTAAGTCTCTCTGCCTTCTTTTAACTCCTTTTACCGTAATTTAAAAAAGTGTTTCTCATTTGTTACACAGCATGCATTTCCCACTTTATCAGCAAGTTCTTCATGAAACTGCCAAATACAACTCACCTTTAGAGCGAGGCTGTTCCTGACAAATGTTTTCTGCAAGTGAAGGCTCCCTGTGAAGAAACTTGTTTTAAAATATGTGCTCAGTACCCACAGCAACAACTCTTCAATTCTTGAAAGTCCAAGAGGCTTTTTCATTAACTATAACCCTCTTCACTCAAGGTGAAAGAAGTCATTCTAGTTTAAGATGGAGCCTTTAGTCATTAAAAATATTGCAGAAGTATATCTGATAACAGATGTTAAGTTACATTAACAGTGTAAGTAGGTTATAGAATGTAAGCTGCCATTTTTATAAAAACTAAACGAAAATAAAACAAAAGGAGAGATACACCAGAGTTAAGAGTAGTCATCTCTTGGCAAAAGAAATGAGTCATTTTATTTTTAAAAATTATTTATATTTGATTGTTTCTATAAGAAACATATATTCTTTTTAATGGATAAGTCAGTGCCCTGTCCTCCCTCATCAGCAGAGCTTCTGTTGTGACAGAGACTTATACAAAATCATGTCCCAATATTATATAAAAGTCAAGACTTCAAGTCACTCGAGAGTCAAAGGTAGGTTCGAAATGCCCTTCTGTAAGCACTGTCCCTTCCACCAACGTGTTCCTACCTGGCACAAGAGTTCACTGGACAAAGAGAACTGGATAGAACCATTCCTGGTGTTTCCTGAGACTCAGAAGCAATTCTAGGTTCAGCTGTCTCCTTTGCAGGCAACCTCTCTTCTTGCTATTTGCATTAAATAAACAAAATCAATGTGTCTCTCCCATCCACAAAATGCTATCTGCTTCCAAACTCTAGTTCCAACATTAGCTTCACCACAGTCTTCCCCTAATTATCCACTAACCATATAAAAATGTCTGTATCACAAAAGTTCTTCCCAATAATTTGTTTCTACTTTAATTTGTAATGTTGTGCTCAACTAAGCAGTGCCAATCATACACGGAATTTCTTTAATTAACCCCATTTTAATGGAAAATAACTACAATAAAAAGCTAAAATCATAAGTAACAACATAACGGTTTTGAGTATAACTAAGAAGTCGATAAACTGTATCACTTACGTCATAGGCCATAAATTGCATTCCTGTTAAATTACTTTCCGCTCAACTTTGCTGCTACCAACAGCTAAGAAACCACCAGAAACTCTGCATGCGGGTTTGGAGGACTTAAACTTTCTATACTTTCATACCGTTTAAATTTGTTTCAACAAGTAATAGTTTGGTGGATTAAAAACAGAAAAATTACCTGATCACCCACTCTTTCTTGCTGAGTAGTTTGGATTTCTTTTAGCTTTTTCTCCATCTCTTCAATCTGTTTCTGCATTTCTGCTCTCTTCTTTGCATTGGTCAGTAGCTCCGCTAGAAACAGTCAAGTTGGCTGAGGCATTACTCCTCATAGAAATTTATTCCATCAAAACCTGTCTTCGGGGCTCATGTCCTCGACATACGTTAATATTACAGATAACAATGACAGAAGTGGGGCAAAGACCTCAACTCAAGGCCTAGGCCTCTATTCTTTTATTTATTCACTCAATAAAAAAACAGAGTACCTATAATGCACCAGGCACAACTCTGGGTACTTAGGTTTCAGTGGTGAATAACACAAAGTCCTCGGTCTTGTGACGCTAGCATTCTGTTTAGGGGAGACAAACAGACACACACACACAAACACACATACATACACCCATCAATAAGAAAATCAGTGTTAAGAAGAAAATAAAATAGGTGACGTGAGAGTGTGTGATTGGGTAGGGAATGGAAGTCAGAGCCATGTAAGACCTGGAAATCAGGGAAGAGCACTCAGATGACATGATGTTAAATCTGTAACGACAATGACAAGGGATCAGTCACATAAAGTTCTGGGCAGATTCCAGGCCAAGGGAACGAGCTAACACACAAGCCCTAATGCTGGAACGAGATCACTGCGTTCAAGGATTCAAAAGGCAGCCGCTTGGCTGCAGCACAGTAAAAGGGAGTGTAGTGAGAGACTAGGTTGGAGAAGGAGGCAGGGGCCAAGTCACGTGAGGCTCTGAAGTTTATGGTACTAAATTCTAAGATACTGAAAAATCATTGAAAACTTTTACGTAAAGGAGTAACATGATCTGATTTACTTTTAAAAAGGTCATTTTGGTTGCTACAAGGAAAACACATTGCAGTAGGGCAAGAACGAGGGCAGAAAGTCTAACTACAGTCACACACACACGCACCAGTTACCATCGAGTCGACTCTGGCTCGTAGTGACCCTACAGGACACAGAAGGACTGCTCCATAAGGTTTCCAAGAAGCGTTTGGTGGATTCCAACCGCCAACCTTTTGGTTAGCAGGCAAGCTCTTAACCACTGCACCAGCGATAAGACTGTGGCTTGGATTAATAGTGGAAATGGTAATAATGAAAGATTTGGGGTACATTTTAGTGGTAGAGTTGACAGGCTTATTCACTAAATGTTGGGGAATGGTAAAGAAAGAGGGATCAAAGAGGACTTCGAGATTTTTTTGGCTTGAACAACTAGGAGCATGGTGATGCTTTTTATCGAAACGGGGAAACCTGAGAAGTAAAGTTCATGTGTGTGCTGGAGTGTGGCGTGTGGCAGAAATCCATAACTCTGTTTTGGCTATGTTGCGTTTGAAACGTCTATTGGGACAACCAAATGCGGGCAACTAAACGTGAAGCTGGAGCTCCGGTGAAATGTCAGGGATGGGGTATAAATCTGAGAGTCCATGGCTTGTAGACAGTCTTAATCCAATAGGATCATCTAGAGATAGTTATAAAAAGAGAAGGTAATTGAACTTTAGTTGAAGTCGTGGACTCCAGGAAGAGGTCCTGGATGAGAAGATAAGCAGTAAATAAAATTGAGAGGGAAAACACATCAAGGAAGAAACCGAGAGAAACATCCCATAAGGAGATACGCACTCTGTAAAACGCTGCAGAGAGGCCAAGATCAAGACTGAGAAATGGCCACTGGATTTGGCAAAATGGAAGTTTCTGGTAACCATGACAAGAGATGTTTCACTGGGTAGAACGGATGCTTGAGGGAATAATGGTCAGTGAAGAAGATAGAACTACTACAACCCTCAAGAAATTTTGCTGTGAAGGAAGTAGAGAAATGGGATAATAGCTGGAGAAGAATATGAGGATAATGGAAGTTTTTTTTTCTTTTTTTTTTTAAAGAACAGGCGATATTATCAAGAGACAGAAAGGGCCACATAAACCAGAGACTTCATCAGCCTGAGACCAGAAGAACTAGATGGTGCCCAGTTACCACCAACGACCGCCCTGACAGGGAACACCACAGAGAGTCCCGGACGGAGCAGGAGAAAAGTGGGCTGCAGAACTCAAATTCTAGTAAAAAGACCAGACTTAATGGTCTGACTGAGACTGGAGGGACCCTGGAAGACATGGCCCCCAGACTCTCCGTTAGCCCAGAACTGAAACCATTCCCAAAGCCAACTCTTCAGACATAGACTGGACTATGGGACATAAAATGATACTCGTGAAGAGTGTGCTTCTTAGTTCAAATAGATACATGAGAATAAATGGGCAGCTCCTGTCCAGAGGCAAGATGAGAAGGCAAAAAGGAACAGCAGCTGGTTGAATGGACACGGGAAATCCAGGGTGGAAAGGAGGAGTGTGCTGTCACGGTATAGGGAGAGCAACCAGGGTCACACAGCAATGTATGTATAAATTTGTGTATGAGAAACTGTCTTGAACTGTAAACTTTCACTTAAAGCATCAAAAAAAAAAAAAAGAATGGGTGACATGAGAGAATAGGTGTATGATAGTAAGAATGGTTGAGCAGAGAAGAGAAAATGCTGGAGGGGGAAGACAGCTCTGAGTCAAATCCTGAGAGGCGATGGGCTCTAAAACCCAGATGGACAGCTGCCTTTGACAGCACAATTTTAACAGAAAGTCAGAGAGGGTATGGGTGCAGGTGCAAACGATAAATTTGGGGTGATAAGAAAAGAGTTACCATTTGATTGCCTCCGTTTTCTCAGTGAAATAGGAAGCAAGGTCATCAGCTGAGGAGGGGTGGGAGGGGGTAGAGGATTTGAAAAGATGAGAGAAAATTAAATTAGTTGATGAGCACAGAGAAGAAATTAACCTACCAGGGAACTCTAGTAAGACTGCTAGGCACTGTAAATGCCCATTTGAGATTTGTGGTCATGAATTTAAAGTGAGACCAGTCCACACAGCTGCATTTTTCTCCAGCCATATTTATACTGTTTGGATGCAAGTACAGAATAAGCAGATAGTTGGATTTAACTAGGGTTGAGGTTTTTTCAGGTGAATACAACACAGAGACAAAGAGATCAAGGGATTAAGGGTACTTACAGGGGAATGATTATAATGACAATCATGGACTCTAAGCTGGGAAGGAAGAAAGTTATGACATGTGAATAGTAAAAAAAGAAGTGGTAGGGATGGATTAGGGATCTCAACGAGTAGAGTCCTAACGTATGTGAGCTAGAAGGAAAGATGGTGATCAAAGAATATCCATTGCTGTCGAGTCGGCTGCGACTCATAGCCACCCTACAGGACAGAGTAGAGCTGCCCTATAGAGTTTCCAAGGAGCGCCTGGTAGATCTGAGCTGCCGATCTTTGGTGAGTGACGGTAGCACTTAACCACCACACCACCAGGGCTGCCAAAGACTAGGACCTTTGAAACTGAGATTTCTGCAGTGGTACAGGTCTCGGCTGATAAGGTCAACAGTAAGACCATGGAAGGGGGTGATGGACAGGGCTGAGGAAGAGATCACGAGAGGTGTGGTGGTCAAGGACGGAGAAGTCACGGCACTGGATGGGGCAGGAGTGGAAAGGAAGACTGAACCAGGCGCTCAGTCAGTTCGTGAATGATGGGGAGTGACTGTAGAGTCTGAGGTGAGCACACTAAAGAGGTTCAGGATGTAGAAAAAAATCAGAGGATGAATCTGAAAGAAGTTTTTGAAGGGGGGTGGGAAATGGTTTGCCCCCAAGTATTCCAGACTCCAGAATTCGAACTGCTTCCCATTTCTTTATTTGGTAGTTAACCTAAATAGGCACTTGGAGAAATTTCAGGCAGAGTATCAAAGGCAAAGTGAAAGGTTTCAGGCAACATTAGGGAAGTAGCAAAGTACTTCAAAGACAACCCTGCTTTACAGAAGTTTGCTTCTAACCTGTCACCTGGAGCTCAGAAAGGACTTCTCAGAAATAAACTGTAAGTGATGATTAAGTTTTCCCAGCTAGCCCCACAAATGCCTCATTCTGTTAAGAGAGTTGAGCTACAATAGTAAGTTATTCTGGATATTCATGTAAAAAGAAATATTTCTTTCCTTTTTTTCCAGGTATAGATCCTAGTTAAAATGTCTAAACGGATGAAATTTATTTCTGGACTCTCTCCTATCCCAGTTTCTACGTTCTCCTTACCCTCCATCACCTTCTAATGCCCGAACCCTCAAATGCCCCACCTCCCTACTTTTCAGCACATTCTGTCCTACCTCTTGCCCCCAAGTATTCCAGACTTCAGAGTACAAACTGCTTCTCATTTATTTATTTGGTAGTTAACCTAAATAAGCACTTGGTGAAATTACAGGCAGAATGTCGAAGGCAAAGTGAAATGTTCCAGGCAACATTAGGGGAAGTAATTAGTGGGAAGGCATGGCACCCGCATATATGCACATCAGGGACCCAACTGTCTGCCTACTGCGCTGGAGAATATTGTTCCTATGGTACTTAGTGGGGAGGCATGGCACCCGCATATATGCACGTCAGGGACCCAGCTGTCTGCCTACTGCGCTGGAGAATATTGTTCCTATGGTACTTAGTGGGGAGGCATGGCACGCACATATATACATGTCAGGGATCCACCTGTCTGCCTGTTGCATTGGAGAATATTGTTCCTATAGTACTTAGTGGGGAGGCATGGCACCCGCATATATGCACATCAGGGACCCAGCTGTCTGCCTACTGCACTGGAGAATATTGTTCCTATGGTACTTAGTGGGGAGGCATGGCACACGCATATATGCACGTCAGGGACCCAGCTGTCTGCCTACTGCATTGAGAATATCGCTCCTGCTGTTCGTAGCTTCTTTTCCACCTTCACTTCTGAACACAGACTTGGTTTTCTCCCCAAGGGTTTTGTGGAAAGCTGCAAGGGGAGTTCAGTTTAAGTACAGACAGAAACAGTACAACCACAGAAACATCACGTAAAGGTACAAACAATAGGGCAGTTTTCTTCAGACTTAATTATCACTTCAACCTTCCTATAACTTAGTTAACTTATTTTCACAAACTTGAAACAGATCACACACCTTCCCTTTGCTCTTTTAATTTCTTCCGAAAAACTTCAGCCCGGATTTCTTCAAAAGAGAACTCTCCCACTCCTGCGTAAATCTTCTCCTTACAGTACATCATCTTCTCCCTCTTCCCCTCAGACTCTTGCTGATGGCTCTGAACCCTCTGTAAGGGGTCTCCTTCTTCCTTTCTAGGTTTCCTGGTGCTTAGAACGTGGTTTATACTAGGTTCAATTTTACATGGTGTCCTAAAAGAAGCAAAATAATTACTGTTCACCAAACAAGCCAAAATGAGTTGTTTCTTACATGTTTTGACAAAACACAGGGACAATGTCAATAGCAGAGCTATAATGTGATCAATTTGAAAAACAAACACAATTTGGAAAAGAGGCTAAAAATAACTTACAAAGGTCACACAATCATGTTTTGAGTACTACCCTGGTATGATGAGAAGGAAATCAGTCATATAAAGTATGGTCCTTAATGGCTTATACTCCTTACAGGTGAAAATAAATTTTAATACCATATCTTAATCAAACCCAATATCTGAAAGGAAGTTACCTTTTGCAATATAGCTTATTTTCCACAGTTTAGCACCCAACAGTTAGTTAGAAATACAGCACTAGAGAACTAATGACATGAAGCTCAAGGTTCTCAGCTGAGGGGGAAGAATGAGCGTGGTAGTTTAGGCCTGGAAAGAATGAAGCAGAAAGTACCTCAATCCGGACAGGGCAGAGGTTCTCCACTTTGGAACTCCAGTTAAAAAACAGGCAAAAGATCTGACTAAGACAAAGGTCTAATCTCCATAATCTACAAGAAAATCCAACACCTCTACGACAAAAAGACAAATAATCCTACTAAAAAATGGGCAAAGGAAATGAACAGACACTTCACCAAAGAAGACATCCAAATGGCCAACAGACACATGAGGAAATGCTCGCGATCACTAGCCATTAGAGAAATGCAAATTAAAACCACAATGAGATACCATCTCACC